TAGTCAACAAGGATGACGAGGAAGAGGCAGCTCGGGAACGTGAACTTCCACCGGATGATGGCAGCAGACGATCAACGCAACGTGCCACTAGCTTCAAGAGCATACTTGATATCAAAGAAAAAGAATTCAAGGAAATGCTTAAGCTTAAGCGCAAGAGCAGCGATCAAAAACGAGCTCCCAGCCAAAGCTCAGACGGGCAGCCGATTTCACCATCTTGAAGAGAATTATTCTAGGTTTGGTGTTTTTCCACAATGCACCTTTGCTTTTAGTGTAGAATGCAAACAGTTTGTCCCCATTATTAGTATAAAATACAGCAAGGTATGCTGGAAAATCCAAGCAATGTCAAAGAACAAAAAAAATTTTACTGCTTAGTAGGAAAAATATGTGGGGAAATTCTGGTGTAGATGTCATGTGTCTTCTGGAAACTACAGATGAATTAGAAAAGATATATTTCCCTTCCTTTTTTTGCCAATTCTCCAAGGAGATTTGAAGGATCTGAGAGTTGTGACAGCCCTTTTAAGCCTCAAGATTTCTTTCCAATCCTCTAGCATGTGATATTAGTCTTTTCTGTGTGGTTTGGAAGTACAAATGATGTGTCTTTGTAGCTTTTGATTGAACTAGGAGTTGTTACTAAAAATCAGTAAGAGCAGATGAAAAGTGCTTAAAAGCAAGTTTCTTTATTTTCAATGAGCAGGGGAGTTTAAGTGGTCTAGACTGACTGTCTAAGCTGCAGAAAATTCATTGTTCATTTGTTTACAATTTGGAATCTTGGAACTGAAATTGAGAATTGCACTTAAGGGCTGGATTATTTGTCATTACAACTTTATTAGCTGACAGCAATTAAAGCCCTAACTCGGGTCATAAATCGAAACCACTGATTTTAATTCTTAATTTTTTTTCATTAGAAATAGGTTAAATGCAACTTTCTCATAGACTTTAGATCCATATTATCTATTCAACATGCCAAGCTTTCACATAATTCAAGCTAATTTTAGTTTGTTTGGATTGTGTTTTATTTGGAATATTTTTACTGTAACACTTTTTGTGATGTGATGTGTGTGAGATAAAAAGGTAATTGGGAAGATAAAAAGGTGTATTGGAAATTGTAATGATGATGTAAGCAGATAAAATTGGGGAAATAAAACACAATCCAAACAAACCTTTTGTTTATCTGGCAAGGTAAACCGAGATATCAGCGATTGCATCAAATAATTGCCCTAGTTTTAAATCAGAACAAATTGGATATGTTATATAGATCCAATCCAAACTTAGTCCAGACGAATTGTTTAGAGCTACAAAATTGCCAAAAAACAAATTTTAAAAAGGAAGTTGATATCACCAATAAAAAAAACTCAAAAAATCCAGTATATCCAATGTCAAATTTGAAAAGTTATACCACATTATAAAATTTAAAAAAAAAAACTTTTTCATTTCTTCTGATTCTGTTTTGGGTCCCATATAGATCAAATATGACCATTAAAGGGCACTGTAATGGTCATGGATTACCTACGAGCCCAATTCAGAAAGCCCAGTCTAAAACTAACAGCAGTAGGCCCATCACAACACCAAACGCCAGATGAATGCGATTATAGCTTGTACCGATTGTGACTGGCCTAATGACCATTAATTAACCTTAAACTCCACCCAGCTTTTCTTTAAAGGCTTTTAGTTGATAGAAACATTACCCGCCATGAGGTTCTTGATTCGATTCTCAATTGGTTTCATTTTCTCTCTTCTTTCTCTCTCTCTCTCGTAAGACTTGAGGTCTTCTCTTGAACCGAAAAAAAAAAAAACTTTATCCAACTTCTCGTAATACCAAAAATCATATCTTCAACCCAGAATTTCCTCAAAGGAGGCAAAATCACCCACGGATATAAAAGCGTGACACTCGAATTCTTGTGTCCAAAATTTTAAGCGTCCAAGGTTTTTATTGATTTATTAAATCTTACATTGTATTGGACTGCCCTTCGTGTTTCTAGGGTTTTGATCAGACGTAATTAAAGTTTTTTTTTTTTATCAATTGATAGCTTAAACCATATTAGCTTTTGCCTACCTCAATGCGAAGTAGATGTAACAAGTTATTAGGGAGGGGCTACCTTTACATGTCATGGTTTATATTTTTGTTCGTTCTAAAATTCTTATGGTTTGAAAGAGAGATAAATATATCTATACTTATTTATTGCACCCTTAATACAGTTTCAAATAGGAGAAGTTGAAGTCATGGTCCTATAATACATGATCTTTCAAATTATCTTTTACTTTTGATAGCCATTCCTCTTTTAAAACTCCAAACTCAACCAAACAAGATTGAGGGCAATTCTTCTAGCCTTATGGTTGTCAATTCATTCAAAACGTGGACATGTTGTTCCTTGTCTCCCCACTTCGTGCAAGGAAGTTTAGAAAAGTAACATTATTGCACTTTATTTAACATCAACGGACATAATAATTCTTTAGAAAACAACTTGGAGGTGCTAATAAGATTCCTTTGTATGGTTTTCAAGTTCGCAATCCTTCAAATTGAAAGATATATTGCAAGTGAATTATTTGTCCCTAACTATAAAGTGTGTGTTTGTCTTTAAGGACATATTAATATACCAATAAATGCTTCTCACATGCTTTGATGCCATATCCTATTTGATCATGTTGTGGAGGTAATTATGTTTGGGATTATAGAGGCACATTAGGTGTATGTACTTATTGAGGTTAGATTAAATGCATAACTATACCCTTAAATGCTTATATAAATTGATAATTTGAGATTAAATAATTATCTTGCTTCGTGAACATCTAAATCCTCGGTAAATTCAGATCCAACAAAATTTAATCTGGTAATTCCTATAGCATATTCTTAGAAAAGAATGTTCATTTTGTTATTGCGTTTTGTTGTACTTTTTACATAGTTAATTGACATAATTAATCATCGACAAAGTTATGAATATAAAAAACAAATTTGAATTTATAAAATACACTCTTTCAAAGACTAATTTGAGTATTATTTTTTACTGTATATGGCCAAGCTTGGTTTGTATGATATCTTTTTTTTTTTTAACATTTTTTTTGGGATGGAGACTGAATCTGTCCTTTGTATTTTAATATTGAACTTTTAAGGTCATACATTGATTTCTGTACCGGCCAAAGATTCCTGCACATCGCTTCCAGTTTAGTCCAAACTCCAATAATCTTATCTACCAAAACATAAACAATGGGAAAAAAAAAAAATCAACTCGCATGTATATAATTTTTTCTAGGTTTTATCGGATACTGGTTTTTCAACACTGGGGCCAAGGGGTTGAAATGAAAGATGGATGGACAATTATCGACCAAGATCAGAGCCACATAAAATAATATCTAAGGGTGTAACTAACCTAAGTTATTGAACTCTTCTTTAATTTTTTGTTATTTACCGTCCCATCCTCCTTACATTCGAACTGTCAGGCACATTATTCAAATTTCGAATCCTGAAATCAAATAGTAGAAAAGATTCTACGAGTCATCCCCGACTATTGGGTGACTCCAATAATTTAAATGATTGAGCTTTGTCATAATTACATATGAAATGAAATTAAATAGATCTTTTGAATTCAATATCCTTCCATGTTGACATCTTCTGAAAATTAGTTATTTAGTTTTTTTTCCCTTCTTATTCTTCATTTTCTAGGTGCAAGAAAAGTGATCTCCATTTAGTATCCTATAGTCTTTTATACCCAAAAAAAATAATTGACACTAAGAAACTTTTCAATAATTCTTTCATATGAAAATAAATGTAGAGTGATACAAACACTTTTTTTCCCCCAAGAGAAAAAGAGAAATCAATAGAACTTTAAAAGATCCAGAAAAAGTCTATGTAATTAGAATGATGTAACAAAAGCCTACTAAAATGTGAGAACAATCTTGGCCTTTTCTGTCTTGGTTCTGAGTGGGGCTAATTTCATGATTGATGTTTGTCAATTTGCGTGTATGGCCTGAAATTGATTCTGTCAATGGTGGGACTATAACGTCCTTGTAACAAAGAAACTATTGTTGGAAGAATCTTGTTAGAGTTAAAAAAAAAAAAAAACCCAAAAATGTTAAAGAATATAAGAAAAAAGAATAGAAGAAAAAAGATTTGTTTTATCATGCTTAAATGGCTTATCATTTCCTCCTCAATGGGTTATAATCTCAAGAATAAGTTTTGTTCTAATAAAATTTAATTATTCTTCTCAAATAATCAAACTAAATTGAATTTAAAAAGGGATTAAGTTTTTTTAGCCATAATAATTACTTATTCCGCATTTCCTTTGGATGTTTTATTGTCGTTGTCCAAGTAAAGATAATGTCGCAATTCCAAAAATAGAAGATTTTGTGAAAGTACTTTAGATGTATATGTGAGTAGTAAAGAGTATTTTAAAAATTTTAATTAGCAAATTTATCAATATTGTTCATCCCTTGCATCGCAATTTTACAAAAGCTATAATGTATGAACCTATATTTCGTGGCCTATACTCTATAGTGGACCAAATTTTCCATGTAGATTTGTGAGAAAATCAAGAAGAAATAGAAAGAATCATAAAAAATACCAAAGAAAATGAAAATTCCAAAACCCCACGTGGTCCAGTATTGTGATAAATGATGGCTCTTGATCCATTTTTCTCGCCGAGATTGATTAAAGTAATTATGGAAAAACAATGATGAAAAATATAAGAAACAAAAAAGAAATAATGTAAGGTTTGGATCTTTTTTTTTTTTTTCTAACATATACAAACAAATGATTAATGTCCCCAAATTCCTATGAAACATAAACCTAAATAAATCCAAAAAAGCCGGCATTTGGAATAAAATTTTAGACTTGGCAGCCCACAAAATCAGTCAAACAATCCCCCACAACAAACGGTCACCTGTCATCACCACACATCAATTGTTTGCCATCCCCAAAAAAAAAAAAAAGAAACCCAAAATTAAAAATACCAAATTTGAAAAACATTTAATAAAATGAAATATATTCAACAATATCATGTGAGAAGGGCATTAGGAGCCTGATTAGAACTTCCATTTTCATGGACTAAGAGGGCTCCTAAGGCCATTCTATCATCATCATCATTTCATCATCAATCTTGATTTCATTGAAGAATGACTCAGCTTAGCCGTCAAAAGTTTCACTTCAACATGAAAAAAGCGATTCTGTGGCGAATCGCCGTCCTTAAGCAGTGTCTCAAGTCAATTTGGAACCAGTTTCTTGCTTGTTGGATAGGAAAATCAGTCAGGTATAGACATTTGCAGCAGAAGATGATCAGTTCTGCACCTCATTCAGGTGTCATTGGTAGTGGCTTTTCTTCCAAAATCATGGGCTCACCTTCCCCAGATATTGATAAAGATTCGTCTGATTTAGTTACTTTGAAGATTAGTCTCTGGGGTGATTGTCAAATTGGCAAAACAAGTTTTCTGGCAAGTCTTGAATCTTAATCATTTGAGCTGATTTTCTTGAATACATTTTCTGCTTTAGCATTACGGTTGATGCCTATAATTCTTTTAGGATCAAAGTTTTTTGGATTTTTTGTAATCAACTCTTGATGCCATTTTCTTTCTGTTCTTGATCAAAGGCAAAGTATGTCGGAAGAGATAATGGAGTAGTCGTCTCTGCAATTCCAGGGATAAATCAAATGGACAAAACATTATCAGTTAAAGGGGCTCGGATTTCTTATAGCATCTGGGAAGTAAGAGGTATGCATTTTCCATGATTTCACTTTTCTGGGCTTTTATTGCTTTTTTCAACCTGAATTAGTAGTGAAAGATCTGTCTTGACGTTCCGTTTTTGGCAAATTTGATCAACAATGCAGGCGACAATTCTTCTCATGATCACATTCCAGTTGCTTGTAAAGATTCTGTAGCCATGATTTTCATGTTTGATCTCACAAGCCGGTGCACATTGAATAGGTATAGATATATAGCAATTTCACTTTCAAATTGCACCAGACATTAAATAGTTATATATGTGTTCCCTTTTTTTTTCTTTCTTTTTCTGACACTAATATATGATTCTTGCTGTAATTGCAGCGTGATCAGATGGTATAAGCAAGCCAGAAAATGGAATCAGGTAAAGATACTTGCTTAACAACAATGTTTCACATTATTCCTTTCTTGATTTTTAGTGCCCAGTCTTGATCCCCACTTTTTCTTTATCCTGCTTTCTCTCTTTTTTTTTCTTCACCTTTTTTCAGTCTATAATTCATCTGTTCTTCACAAAGCAAGCGAACGTTTTTTGTTCATATGATCTTTTGGTTATGCAGACAGCCATTCCGGTGATGGTTGGAACAAAGTTCGATGATTTTATCCAATTACCAATAGACATTCAATGGACAATTGCAAGTGAGGTAATCATGTAATTAAATTTTCAATAAAATCTTTGTGATCTGCCTAATATTGATGGTCATCAAGAAGAATTCATATTCATTAATCTTCACAAACATAGACAGCCGAACCATAGAATATACCAAATGCAGCCTTGTTCTAGAATACCTAGGTCCTTTCAATTTCCTTGATACATGTTTTATTTTAATCTTTTTAGAGACAAAGAGAGAAGTGAGGAGGTTGCCTAGTCAATTCCAATGATAAAACCCACTTGACTTTGCAACGGAAATTATTGTACTCTACAACTTATATCATCCAGTGAATTTTACGTGGATTGATATTTTCCACTTGTTGTCACTCTCAATCACCATCAGGCATACATGTACATGTAAAAACAAATTAGAAATCACATGAGATTACCTCTAGTGTAATCATGCACTAAAGTTGTTTAAAAGCATATTAATGACGATAAGTACACTAATTGGATATAATTTACGTCAAGAATCTTTTTTTTTCTCGTCTTAAACTAGGATTCGATTTCTTATTTCCTTAATCATATATAAAACGAGGGTTCAATTTTCGTCTCCCGATTTGTATATAAACCCTTAGACGCTCACAAATTTGCTTCTTTTTTTTTTTTGAGCAGGCAAGGAAATATGCAAAGGCACTCAATGCAACCCTTTTCTTTTCAAGTGCAACTTACAACATAAATGTGAATAAAATCTTCAAGTTCATTACGGCCAAGCTGTTCAATTTACCATGGACTTTGGAGCGCAATCTCACCATTGGAGAACCTATGATTGATTTCTAGAGGTTCTTTCTTTTTTTTTTTCCCCTTACTCTCAACCGGTCACTGGTTCTGTCACAATGATACTGCAACCAGTGAAAATTCGTGTTGTTTACTTCCCCATGAAAGTCATGGGAGGAGTTTTGTAGCCTTTTTGTGCTCCAAGCTTTGTTTTTTTGTGAATGCTTTTCTTTAATTTTCAAAGCAAAAGATAAGGCCAAGAGCCACCTTGTTCTCTGTTTACTTTGTTTTGGTTATGATGGGGCTTGATCTCAGCAATTAACAAGGACATGAATCAAGCAATAGATTTGTGCCCTTAACTAGTCCAATATTGTGATGATGGCACTTGATATTTGGTCATGGATTGAATATCATGCCCTTGGATTTTCTATGATTTTGTCCACAAAAAAAGAAAAAAATGGTTACAGGTTCAAAGACACGTAAAGTCATCTGGGAGATTGTATGATTCTGTCAAAGCCTCAAAAGAATAATTGTATCCGTGATTGATTGTTCCATTTTAGGTGAAGAGTCAAAATCCTGATTCCCTTTTGGAAGGTCTTTTCGTTAATTTTTAGCTTTATATGTGTAATCCGGCTCATATTCTAACACGTACTCAAATCAAATCTTAAAAAAGACCCCACTACGACTTGAAATAGCAACAATTTCTTAGGAGGAAATGGTTTCACACACCTAAAAGGACTAAACCTAGTCAGAACATTATATTGTATAGTATCATAAATTTTGAACTTTCTTCAAGAAACTGCTAAGCATCGTTCAACATGAGTTTATCAGTATCGGTTTAAGAAAATCAAACTAGAAATCAACCTCTACCATCATCACAAACTTCATCACATCCAAGTTCTAACAACAAGAGTACCAAAAATTTTGCCTTTTGGTTTTATTGATCATTCTTTTAGGACTTCAACATGATGCAGCTTGATTTCTGATCGACTGAGGAATCTATCAATTTTGCTTCAGTGATGATTAGAGTTTTTTTCCCCCTTCTTGCCTATAAAGAGTAAGTTTTGACATTTATTAATAGCAGAAAAGGCACATCTACAAGTAGAAATCAAACAAAGAGGCCTTTGTATTTAGAAGTTTCCATTCAGAATTTTGATAGTAATTTTCTTCACATAAATTTTTGGTGTTTTGCTTAGTTTAAGTATGTGTTTGTAAATAAAGCCGGTTATGTTGACGTTAAACTCGTTTTAAATTCTTAATGACTTAAATTTCTTTTTGGTTCGAATTTGGCTTGATAACTATCTAAAGGGTATGTCCAACGGTGTCCATTTGACATTTATTAAGATGTGTTTCGAGTGTGAGATTTTTTTTTTAAAGATAAAATTAATTAAACAAGTATTTAAATGTAAGGGAGATTATTATTTATTAGTGTGTGCATATATATAGCAAATTAACTAAATTTAGCGTGTTAATAACTATTAAATGGACAGTCTATTATTATTTTTTTTTAATTGTCATCTCTACTCCTACTCCTACTCTATCTACGGGGGAGGCTCAACTGAGCCTATGGGGACCGATGAGGACAGAACCACCATCGGACCAGACGGGTGCACTACGCACCCGTCTGGATTTGAAGCAGAGCCACAAGAGTGGCATTTTTGGTGGGTGGCAAGGTTTGAACCCTTGCCTCCCACCCCACCAAAGCCTTAAGAGCTTGGTGGTAGCCACCAGTCCAAGAGCTGTGGTTAATGGACAGTTTATTAGAAAAACCCATTTTTGAATTTTGTCAAGTCAAATCTGAATGGACATATGAATGACATTGGAAGCCTACATTCACGCAAAAAAAAGACCTAGGCTTTTCCAGATCTATTTGTCAAAGTCAAGATTTCTCATGTATGTTTTTTCTTCAAATATGTAATTTCTTAAGTCAATTTTTGTCAGACTTGTAATTTCTCATATCTGTTTTGTCAAATTTAAATTTTTCATTCGAACTTGAATTAGTTACATATTAGATATGGCTGGTGAAAACATTCATATAAATTGTTCATTGGGGGTTGAGGAAATATATCATTTGAAGACATCATGGAATTTCAAAGTTTTATTTTTGTTTTTTTTTTCTCTATTAGAGAAAAAAAATTCCTTCTATGATTGTATGTTCTAATACATTTGCTTTCAAAAATCGAAAATGGTAACCTATAGAGAATCGACACGGCCTCTTAAGGCTTTGTATAATGTCATTGGATCCGAATATCAACATGTACAGAAGCCCAAGTAATTTCTGGTGTTGAGCCCACTATAGTTTGATTTATGCTGGGCCCAAGCTACCTTACAAAACTTTCAATTAAATTTTGGTATCTTCCCATTTTCCATAAATCTGACCTTTTCAGTTTACCACTTTAGGAAACTACTTAAAAACATTGGTTGCATGTTAATCTCTTTCCTAACATTGTTGATCACCCTAAAACTTTGATACTATTATATACATGTATATAAATCAATTATTGAACCAATAATATAAATATATACATGTGAGTAACATTATTGATCACCCTAGAATTTTAATATTGTTATATATAAATCAAGTATGAACCAATTATATAAAGGATTAATCTGTTATACACTGACAGTACATATATTTTGACCTTTATATATATAACACAAGCAAAATTTGTATTTCAATCGTGATAGTATATACGTTGTCAGTATATATAAAATTAACTATATATATGTGTGTGGATGTACACACACATACACATATATACCTTACAAAACTTGCAATTAAGTTTTGGTATCTTCCATTTTCCATAAATCTCACTTTATCAGTCTCTCACTTTAGGAAGCTACTTAGAAACATTGGTTGCATATCAATCCATTTCCTAACATGATGATCACCCTAGAACTTTAAATATGCATCCAAAACGTCATGTGCTAAACCAAAGAAAGTTCTCTCGCAAGTATTTCTAGCAAGCTTCTTTGATTGCTAATTTCTCTAAGCAGATATGAGCTCTTCACCTCCGATCCCACCAGATACAGTAATTACTGTATCATCAGGACCAGCCCCAAAAGACCCCTGTTTGGATAGATGCGTTTTAATAGGATTTTTAAGCATTATATTCCTGGCTTTTGCAATTGTTATAACTGTGGCACTAGTTTTCTTTACTGATGCCAAAGATCCCCAGTTTCAAGTTGACTCCATCATGGTTTCTCCTCTCAACTTATCCAGCAATGTTGATGGAACAAGATCACATTGGAGCATTGGAATCTTGGTGAGAAATCCAACTAAATTGTACTATCTTGAGTACCAAAAATTTTACGTTTTGGTTTTGCACAATAAAACCGAGTTTGTAACTGGAAAAACTGTTGAACCATTTCATCAACGAGCCAAGAACAAGACCAAAATTGTTGTTCAGACAGAAGCAGCATTGTTGGATGGAGTTGATAGAAAGGGAAGAGTTGTCGGTTTCGATTTGAAGCTCCTGGTGAACACAATCTACTTACTTGGCCAAAACAGACGACAATATTCTTGGTTCGATGTTCTTTGTAGCAATTTGAGGGTTGAATTCTCTTCGCATGCACCCAATGGAACAATGGTTGGAGGAGCAAAGCAGTGTTCCATCAATTGAGGCTAATGCTAGCTCGAGATTTTTCTGGGCATCCATGGAACAAGCCAAATTAAATTTCTTAGGAGCTTTGATCATCTGAAGTCAGTAGATTTTTTTTTTTTAGGGTAGTTTGCTCAATGTCTTGGTAACAAACTTATCAATTTCTCATGCTTATTTAAAAAAAAAAAATTGTTAAAAGTCATCTGGATGTAGCCAAATTCTGTCTTTTGACATATATCTAAACACACTAATGTACACACTGATAATGCCTGCGAAAATTTTGGTGTATCAGTTTTAGAGTCCTGAACCCTTCAAAATCTTCAGTTTTAGTTAAGAGTCCGAAGAAAGATGGTTACATTATCATCTTCAGCAAATAGAACGAAGGATTCTATGACACATTCCTCAATATTTTGTTCACATAACCTAAACCCCTAGTAATTCAGCTACGCTTCAAGTGCATAGGTTAAACCCTAGTTTCATCAAGTAAGCCTAGCAGATTAGGCTAGCTTTGCATGCTATCTGACTTGTTAAAGAAACACAACATTCATTCATGATGTGCGCGCACACATTTTCTACCTGATATATCAAAGTCTTGCTGATTAGGCCCCAAACACCGAAAAACATATAATGCCTGGCCATTTATGCTATTGGACTTAGTACTCGTGTATAGAGAAGAACATCCAATCATGACACGACAAAGACAGTACTCATGTATTGAATCACGTAAAGCTTGCCCAAACAACATGATATGCAAGCCCTATGAAGAAAGGAATTCAAACATATAAAAGCTCAGCCATTTTATAGAGTACTCAGCAAAATAAAAGTCGCAACAAGTTCATCCAAAACTCTAGCGGCAATAAAATGACAAAATGCACCCATTTTCGCGAGGGAAATTACAGGGATCGCACAACATATGATATTCAAATTAGCAATGTAACAAAGTTCTTATGATAACTGAAGATATTCCTAGCATATTGTTCAAAGTTACTGACAAAAACCATTTTATTTCCATCTTTTTTTGGATAGTGGCCAGACTACTGATGGTTCTGGATAAGCTACACCTAATCATTTGACAAAGAGACTGATAAGTAGCACAAAAGAAACTTTTTGATAGAATTTTTACTCAAGTTTCACTTCTCTTTGGGGAGGTTCAAATTCCAAGTAGTAGAATGGCTCAGTAGGTTCTTCCCTGCACAGTAGGCAAACATGTTAGTTGTCCAACGTATAGTAAGGATATAATCTTCTGGGCATATAGCAGACAAAAGACTACATATCAAGGCACAACACATTTGCCAAACCTAGGATCTTTAATAGCATTAAATCTTACTCAATACATCCAAACAAAATTCCAACGATAGTTATGCATATGCACTCAATCCATAGCATTTTATGTTAGGCCTAAGATAGACAGTCTCCAATTATTTCAGAACTTTGACCACTTTAGCTACAAAGCAGTCAAGATCAAACTCACCCAGGTTTGGAACGCATGCACTGCCAGAATAGCTTGAAAGGCCCTGGAACCGTTTTAAAAGGATTACCTTCAAAGCATGCCTGCAACATTCAAATGTGGAAAACTCCAAATTAGAAATAGTATAATATGCACTTAACTCAATCCCTTGCAAAAAAAAAAAAGAAAAAAGAATTTGTTACAGTGTCTGCCTAAAGTAATAAAAAGAACTGAAATG